TTTTAAAAAAAAAAAAAAAAAAAAAAAAAAGCCCACAACAAAACCCACTCCTACCCCACTCTTAAAGACAGCTTACACCGGCTGCCAAATCCTTTACCTTCATCTCTGAGTCAGCGAGGCCGCTACGGCGCAGCGCAGTCAGTTCTGCCTCCCATTGCCCACCAGAGACAAAACCCTTCCGCCAGCGGAGCTCAACCAGCCCAGCCCAGCCCAGGCACCTCGCCACGGCCCTGGCCGCGCCGGGGGCACCCCTGGGGCACAGCCCTCGGGGAGACTGTGGAGCGGGGAAGGCTCTGGGGGTGACCCACAGCACCCATCTCCCCCCCTCCGGCAGCACACACCGTCCCCGGCCGGGAGCAGCTGCATTCCAGTGAGCACCCAGCGCTGGGATTAACACCCTCGTGCATTAAAACATTTAATTAATGTTCTGCAGGAGAATATATTTGCACATGCTTATACAATAGAAAAGTCACAGGACTCATTACGGCTGCATCTTCCTGGGCCGGTGATTATTAATTAACGCACTTCCAGTTTGTTTATCTAATCACAGCATAATTGGTTTCAGTTTTGGTCAATGTTTTACTTCATCAGCTCAGTAAATAGCAAGGCTCCGGCCCGGCAGCCTCTGCCCGCACAAAGGGGCTATTGGCTGCACCTCGCACCCCGGGTCCCGGCGGGGCTCTCGGCTCTGCAGGAGCCACCGTGGAGCTTGCTGAGACTCCCAGGAGAGACGATGGGACCCGTCACCATCCCCACGCTCCCGCGGCCTGCGCACGAGGACAGGGCACCCGCGGCTCTCGCACATACAGGCCAAAGTCTCCTGAACACGCTCAATCCTCTCCATCTCCCGTACGGGCCCTGGAAGCTGCAGCATAACCCAAAGCTCCATCACACAAAATCACCGGGTTTCTGCATTTTAGTCCCTGTAGCCCATCGTTTCCCTGAGATAAGCGACGAAGTGCCCGGCCCCCAGCTTGGCGCAGGGACCCCCCCGCCACGCAGGGGAGCAGCAGCGTCCCAGCAGGGTCCCCCACACAACTCGCTGCCCCCCCACCTCGGAGCAGCGACAGATTTAACGGACTCCAAGCCCAACTCCAATATTCACATCTCTTAATACGACAGGCTCAGAATAATCTGCATCGGGAAGCTTTTCTATTACGGAAGCAAAACTGTGCAACGCCTTGATGACATTTTAATTTGCTGCAATTTCCCACTTTATTCAGCAGTCTTTTCCCGCTAATAAGATACTTGATCAAAGCCTAGACCCGTAAATGTACATTTGCCCTTGTCTGACATCGGCCACTCGCTGCCCTGCCACACTCCCCCCCACAAGGCGGTTTGGACACCCCCCGCCTCAGCACCCTGACCCCCGCCCCAGCCAGACCCCGCGCGCCGGCGGGCGCGGATGTGCCATCCCCTGGGACTGCTGTCGCCTTCACGACTCTCGTTTCCTTCAGCAGAAACTGTGGGGTCCTGTTGAGCCCAGGGCCGGGGGAGAGCGGCACCATCTCACTGCGCCGCTGCCCTCGGGCTGGGCTGCCCCTAAACCTCCGTCCCAGTGGGATCCAACCCAGGCACACAGACAAACCCACACCGACCGCCTCCGGGGAATCCTCTCCTTGTATTTAAGGCGAAGGCGAGAGTTGTAATGATCTTGGAGCCAGGTAAAACAACGTCAAGGATCTGCAGACTCACTGGGCATAAATAACCAGAGTCCCCGAGTGACCGGCGTAAAAACCGCGCAAGTCAATTAAGCATCTTTAAGCAGCACCCAAAGGGAATAAACTTGCTTTGGCAATTTGACACGTCTCGGCGCACTGCTAGGTACCCAAGCAGCTCAAGTGAACCAACCCAGCCCACGCCACCGGGCAGAGGCAGAGGCCTGGTCTGGCCACCCAAGGAGAAGCGGCAGAGCCGTCGCAGGGCCGGGCTGCCCCCGCTCCCCAGCGATGCTCAGCTCGGGCAGCCCCCAGCCTGCAAAACGCCACACGGCTCCTGTCTGCCTTCCCAGGAGGGAGACTCGAAATACTGTGTTACGAAAACCACAGCACTGATGTAAGGAAGCCGAAGAGCTGGAGAGAATCCTCCCCAACAGCCTCGCAGGAGGCCGAGCCCACGGCAGCTCAGGTCGCTTCCGAGGAGGCTCGTGGACCCGCTCCCGGCGCTGATCACGAGGATGCTTCGTCGTGACTTAAACCAACGCCTTTAGCAGGCAGAGCTGCTGACGCCACCAGCCAGTTCTAGCCGGCTACTCGAGATTTTCCAGCCTCACACGCTCATTCCCTGGGTCCAGTCTGTTCAGCGCTTTTAACTCC